TAATAAAACGTATGCAATCTGCACCCTCAAAATGAAAATACAAAGACTGCCACCTGGTGGTGCAAAGAGAAAACTTATTGATATGAACTTTTTAGATCGCTTTAGTACAAATTGTGTATAATAGAAATGCACAATATGTGACTTTTTTTTAAAAGCAATAATACATTTATGCAGTCATAAACATGTTTTGACAGTTAATATGCCAGTGATGCTTCACAAAAGTTGCAGACGCCTTTACCAATATCAAAATGCTTTTGGAAACAACCAGTTATTCTTTACACCGATTAAAAAACGGCTACTATAATAAAGAAAATCTTTTCTAAATGAAGAACTAAATACATTGATTTGCATTAAAATACATGATAAATACTCTTGTCTTGACAAATGAAAGTGTAAAGCCTGCAGCTTACAACAAATGTGAAGTTACTGCGTGTCATATTTAACAAGCCGTTTACTGCTAATTTGATGTAATTTTGCTCACATGGATAATTGAATATTAATCAGATGATGTCATTACGCTGCTGTGCCGTCAGCCAATCGTTGCATTGCTGATCATGATTTCGAGGATCGATAGATCTGTCCTTAACAACAAACGCAGCGATCTCAGATCAGTTCATCCAGACATTCTAATCTGATTCGCGAACTTGTTTGGAGAACCAAATTAGCGAGAGATCAGTTATCAAGATTAAAAGATCCAGGATCTGCCAAATCATCTTAGATCATTTAAGCGAGGTACGAAGAACGGACCCCTGACCCGATCTAATCCTGTTTATATAAATTTAACCTACCCCCGACCAGGTTTGTGCTACCAGAACTATGCTATTACAACAACTCTCAGATCAGTTTTGAAGAACGAAACGATCCTGGATTGTTTAAAATAGTCAAGAACCAAATCCAGCTAACTGAGTAATCCACATTAGTATAAGATTCTGGCGTTTTGATAATCTTGGATAAAAATATGATGGTTTCACTGTATTAAGATGTGCTCTAAAATAAACTCTGGGTAAAAAACTAACTTTTTCCCCCTTTTAAACAGACTTTAAAAACAGTATATTTTATTTGAGAATCATTGAAAATATTTTGAAACCATAGACACGTCAGGCTAAATGAATTAATGACTTCTGTCTTCATTAGTTTAAAAAAAAAAAAAAAAAACATTTATTTTTTAAATTTAAAACTGCATCTTTTTCTGCTGGAGATACAGTTGTCCTAAAAAAAACAAAAAAAGCCAATAAAAAAAATCGTACACATACTTTGGGAACAATATTGCAGAAAACCCTGACTTTTCCCAACCGCGGTATACTTTGAAAACGGTCACAGCCCTATGCCTATTGTAGTCATATACTGAGGCTAGATTTCATGTGTTTGAGAAAACTCGTCGATTTCTTGATTACATTAATCCTGAAGCTAACGTGAAAGACTAACTATAGGATAAACGTTATCGGACTGTTTGGGCATTAACGTACTTTTTAAAAAAACAGTGGCAGAGGGGTTACTAGACCTGTAGAAGATATGCTTTGCTCTATATTTTAACAATAACTAATTTATAAGTAGGATAAAGTTGAAAGGTTATTGGCTAAAAATTAATCAGGAAATCCGGGCACGTTTAGTGTTTTGACGTATAAGGCTGCGGCCACACTGGGCTTTTCTTCCCATAGACTTCCCTTCATACGCACGTGAATGCGTCAGACCGGCAACACAGGGTCATGCATCAAGTTTTGCAGGTTGCAGCGGTGCAAAGTTTAAGCTTGGTGAACTCTGACCTGCGAAATCGCATCACTTGATTGATTGAAACCAACAGAGGATCAAAACATGAGCTCTCTGGACAGAAACGTAAAATATGGAGCAATCGCTCGCTTTTTAAAATGTCTAATCATCTTGTTTAATCCCGTCCCTTCTTGCAGCGCCGTACGACAGAATTTCGCATGCTCAAAATCCAGTGTGATCGCAGCTTTAGTGTTAGGGGAAAGTTGCATTTGAAAGTAACGCATTACAATATTGAGTTACTCCCCAAAGAGGTAAATATACTTATAATTATAGAAGTATATTCATAATTAATAAATAATAGGTAAAAACACTTATTACCAGGCTGAGGCTTGATCTCTTTCAGAACTTGTTCCCCCCTAGACTGCAGCTCTGCACAAGAAGTTTGGCAAGAGGAGTGTTTGGACTTTCAGTTCAGTGTGGTTTAATTTTCACTGTTGAATCTCTGTAAACGGTTTCAATTAGCTAGAACTTCCATGTTACGCTGCTGACACAATCTACATTGTAATAATGCTATACAAATAAAGATGAATTGTGCGCACACACACACACACACGTTTGTTTTTGTGAAAAGTGGAGACATTACATAGGTTTCCATTCATTTAATACGGTCCAAACCGTATATTGTATTGCCCTCACCCCACCCCTAAACCCAACCATCACAGGAGGCTGTGTACTTATACTATTTATACTTTTGCGTCAAACGCCGGCGTATGCTACGGCGCTGACGCAAAGCCCTTCGCCGTGGCCGTCGCCGTCACTGACGTGCACCTCTCAAAAAAAAAATGTAACTACACGTCGCAACGACGCGTAGCGTAAGTTCTGTGATTGGTTGGCTTGGTAGCACTGACAAGTCTGGGCGGGACAGAGAGCCGCGCGAATGGCACGACGCCGCGCGAGTGATTGTTTACAAGTGTTGAGTCCCATGAAGGAGCTCCAGATGGAAAGTTTTGTATTGCGTTTACCTCATAGTAAAGTTGTTGCACGTCCGCCGGTTGCTGCCTCAAAATGAGCGAGTTTGAGCCACTTGTACATCCCGGAAGTGTTCAGGAAATGCAAAGTAGCAGCGAAGAAACTCGACACAGAGGAACATTTACACCTCACTGCCAACTAGCGTTTCGGAAGTGTTAATGCAGACCGACAGAGACAGCGTGCAGAAGTATAAATGCACAGCCACGCGCGTTGCCTGCGCCGTGGGTTACGCCGGTCACCTGACGCAGAAGTATAAATCAGGCTTTACTCTAAACTCATTCTGTGTGATTTATAAGCATTGAGAAATGAGGACGTCTACAATGTCCTCATATTTCACCTTTATGTAATACCTGTGTCATACCCATGTCATTATACAGATTTGTTTCCTGATACGTCACACGCACGCACAAAAAAAAAAAAAAGGAATAAATGAATTCAGGAGGCACGAACAGAGTGCTTTAAAGGCCAGCAGCACTTTTATTTGGATGTAAAGGGAAGGTCACTTTAACAGTGGAAAATAGAAAGTGCACTGCTGGAGTCTTTCATAAAAATAGAGTACAAACACTGAAATATCCAAACAAAGCTTGATTACCTAAAAATGTACAAATATCTGGCTGAATCAAGCATAAAAAGGGCACAATCCTTAAGGACTGCAAATAAAAAAATAAAAATAAAAAAAAAAGTTAAATGTCCAGATCACTAAAATCTCACCATTTCCCCAAATTGAGGCTATGGCTTCAGTTATTGGAGTTATGGTAATAAAGCATCAAAGTGTGCGCACGATTCCTAACAGAGTTCTGGAAGACATGAACACAATGTTGATGGAGGGTTAGTTCAGCATCAGCTTCTCTGGAGGCTCGATCAGGGACACCTCATGGTACCTGGAGGGAGAAAAACAAGCTTAATTGCATATTTAATGGCTTCAATTCACTCAAGTAAAATATGTAGTGCTGGGCAAAGATAAATAAATAATAAAATATTTTATATATATATATATATATATATATATATATATATATATATATATACCTCTAGGTCACAAAAACACACACAAATTGTCCCATTTACACATTTTATATCAAAATCAGGGGTGTGATGTATGTGAAGACAGGTGGAGAGAGAGAGATGGATACGCAACATATTTGAAGAGCAGGGGCGAGACGCATGATTTTTGGGAAATTATTATTCTTTTGCAGGCATGCGGACGTCTTGGGATGTCTGCAAAACTTTATGAGGCGTCTCATGCAGCACTTTGAGGTTGCAGTTTATTTGACTCCTGATACCTGGCAGCTTTTAGCTTTCACCAGCGCATCAATATCAGCAGTCACACCCCATGTAAGGTTGGGTCGATGCCATCGTCCATCGCCAACAGACATCACGATACTGACCCGGCATCACAATCCTCTGCCTTGTGGCGGCAGCAGCAGCAGCAGCAGCAGCAGCAGCAGCAGCAGCAGCATGCGCACACACACACAAGCCCCGTTTAAAATGATACATCTTGGTTTAAAAATGGAGAATGAAAATACAGAGAAAACTTGCTCACAAAAGATATGTGCTAGCGAACAGTGGCTAATTTGACTAAATTCATACCATCTTATTTATAGTTTAGTACGATTTGCTTATTCACCAATGATTGTTGGGTTTAGGGGTGGCGTTGTGTGTCACGCCTCCTTTTTAAAATTGGTACATTTTTCGTACAAAATAGCCACTAAACAGACAAAACGTAAAATAGTTATGTTTCCTCGTGAGATCACCTCAGTGTGGTGAGACAGGGTATAGATTGCAATTTAGGCTTCTGGATCAGATGAAATTAGCAGTTTGCTTTTGCTATTGTGTATGGAACAGCAGTTTCTTTTACTGAAACGTCGCAGCTTTTTTTTTTTTTTTAACTTTACAGAATCATCTCCCTGGCAGCATTAAACCCGTTTGTAGGCCATACGTCAGACACCCCTGATCTAATTAACACAAATATTTTATTTTGGATGAGATGAATTGATTTATTATTAGCAAGAATAAAAAAAAAAAAAAGAAAAAAAAGAAAAAAAGCCAGACAGAGGAAATGAGTCAAATTTTTACAACAATAAATGGATCATGACCAATTATAAACTGATTTTCACAGATTATACACATTACTAGGCCTACATGGAATCTGCAAGCACAGTTTTCTGCAGATTTTTAGCCCATCGATTCGGTTTATTTACTTGTGTAAATTATTTATTCAGTTTACATTAATTTCAGTATAATTTGACTAAAATGAAAATTTATATACACAATACACATTGTAAAGTCATATTTTCTGTCTTTTAGTAAATATTATGAGACTTGCTTTGTTTATCAAATAAAGTGGATATAATTGGATTTGCATTGTAAACATCAAATACAAAGTTTAAAAGGCATTACTTTAGATAATATATTAAGGTTTTAGTTATGATACTCCCAAAATCATTCTGCATAAATCCACAGATTTAACAAAATTCTGAGCAGAAAAAGCAAAAAACATCCGCAGATTCAGTCTGACCGTACACACATTACCAGTTTGCCAATTACAAAATAATAAACAACATTTACCATTCATTAAACATGTACACAGACATCATCAATAGGCTATAAAACTGCAGGGTAAACCATGTCCGAGTATAAGAACTTCTATTTGATTGTAACAATAACTTAATTCGATTGTAATGCAGTAATGTGCATCTTTGATAAAGCTGCTTTGAAATTAAAATTGTAAAGTGCTTTACAGAAACCCGTTAAATAGCTGCTTTTGAGTCTTGTGGATGGATTTAAAATCATTTGATTACATGTTTTACCCTAATCTATTTTAAAGAGGGATTCAAATTTTTTCATTATTTTTTAGTCATTGACTCATCCATCCAGAAGCCTACAATTCCCAAAGTCTGTACAAAAGAGAGAAAAAAAAATCCTGTACTTAAGTGAGTGAGCTTACTTTGAGCCCTTGTATTTCTCTCTGACAGCCTGTTGAGCGTGTTGAGAAGCAGCGAGATATGTCTGATGGAGATCCTGAACACACGGCAGAAGATCCTCCAAAGAGTAACCCGTCAAATCAACAAGAGACTTCGACTGCAAAAGAAAAATATATACATTTTAATGAAAATCAAGTTAATTCAATAAGCATCTGAAGACTAATGAGAACAGGTCTGGAGTCTATAAACCAAAACTAGAGCCCATATTTTGGAGTCAGAATTACCAACAATAGCACTGCTTCCGTGATAATTAGTTGACAAGTGAAATTAATTTCAAGGGTGGAGGGGAAAAAACAAAACAAAAAAAAAAAAAAACCTTAAACGATCAATTTAAAAGGGTTTATCCAGGATATTTCAATAAGAAAAATTAATGCTCATTTACATTTATCAGGGTATAAACAGCAATCAAAGTGATGAAATTCAATACCTCTTAAGACTTTCCATACATAGACCTTATTGCCCCATTTTAACTAGCTGTAGATTTGCCAAATACTGATTAAAGGCACAAGTAAAGGGTCTTAGCTTGGGAAAAATCAAGACAATATAATGCTGAAGTGTGGGAACAAAGAACAAGATAAATTATGAATCTTTCATAAAGGTAGTCTGGCGAATAAGTTATATGATCTAAAAATGCAAGGATTGCACTCATGAATGATCCACAAAGATTCTACATTCAATGCTAGTTCAATCTTCCAGCAGGTGGCGCTATACAACAAGAAATGACTTACTGCAATAAACAAAGCAGCATGACGTTAAATCTAGCAAGATTTTAGTGGTAAAGTCTAGACGGAATACAGCTGTGCATACTCCCATCAATAAAGCATATTTTGCGACAATAATTAATATTTCTACTTAACTCTGTGGGGTAAGGGTTTATAAAATACAGTTTAATGGGTAACTAAATTATCTGTATAATGTGATGGTTATTACTGTGATGGTAGACGTTGATAACACAATTAAGTGGGTAATTTAATAAATAATGTTAACTTTCAGCCACAGCTGTATACCTTTAGCAACTTCATAAACTACACTGCCACCCACAAGGTTTTTGCAGGTTTCACAAAGTCAAACTTAAGACTTTAAGACCATGAAGAAAGAAATTTCAGATGGCTAAAAGCGAACAATATTTTTTTTAAAGGTGCAGCAGAAAAATAAATTACTTGCCCCATCAAAAAAAAAAAAAAAATTCTTAGCTACACATTTAAAATGGTGCCAATTTCATTTCTCAACATAACCTAAAAAATAAATAAAACTAAAATTCATGCAATAAAATTGCCAAGTATGCATGTATTGTTGATGATCGCATGCGTGTAGATCTGTTACAAATGATTTAAGACCTACAAGATGGTATTTTAGTGAATTTAAGACACAAAGACCCCGCAGATACCCTGACCCCAATATTCCAGACATTCAGGCAAACTTTAACATTTTTGTATCATTTGATGTATTCAATGTGTAGTTGCATGTTAGATTGCAAAATAGCATTTAAGGACCTTAAATTTATCAACGGACAACCTGTGCATTAACAATGTGGCATACTCGCCTTTTAATAGCACAATTATAAACAATATGGTATAAATGCTGATATAAATATCACGGTTAGCCATCTATTAAACTGGAGCTTTGTGTCAAAGTAAATGAGTTCAATCTGAAAAAATGTAAAATACATTTTCAAAATAAGTCCCAAGTGTTGTTCAACAGACAGCTTTGTAAGGTTAATAAATTTAGGTGTGGACTACTGTAGTTAATAAGTTTATCTCATGACTTAAGCAAACGGACTACACATTCTTCATTTTTATTTAGCATTGAGCTTTTCTCTGTGTACATCCATCCTTTAATGGAGGATTAACCATGCAGTTTGCTTGGCTTTATTAAAGGATGGATGTAAACAATGAAGATAAATGTTTCATGCTAAATACAAGGTTTCTGCAAATCATAATGGTCTTAAAACGGTCTTCAAGTTTTAAATTTGACATTAAGTATTAAATTTGAGACCTCTATCTATCTATCTATCTATCTATCTATCTATCTATCTATCTATCTATCTATCTATCTATCTATCTATCTATCTATAATAATAAAAAAAAAAAAAAAACACATACAGAGAAAATGATAAATTAATGTATTCAAATTGAACCATACTAAAGACCAGTTAAATGAATCATTGAACTACAGGGAAAAAAAAAATAAATAAATAAAATAAACAATCATCTATCAATAGGCTGATTAATACTTTCGCCAGGCACCGCACATCTCTGCTGCCTGTACATGCACCTCAAGTGGACGATGCTCTTTAAAAAACAACAGGGGCAGTCAAAAAAAAGCAAGCCATTTAAAAAAAAAAAAAAAAAAAAGACGGATAAAAAGAATATGAAGTTTCCAGAACTTCGTCATATCATTAATATCATTCAACATTAACTTAATTTTTTACATTTTTTATAGAATTTATGGTTATAAACATCAACCATTCAAGATTTTTTTTAATTCAACTTTGATGCATGACTTGCTTTTGTTCATATCAAGACAGTTCTACAAATTAAAAGTCAAATATTGATGACTGCACAACATAAGTTGCTCTACAATTATATTTTTTATTATGGAAAAAAAATAAATAAAAAGTACACTTACTAAAAAAAAAAAGACATTTCCTTCATTTTTCCCACACAACAGTCTGGTTTTAACACTGCAAATTACATTTGGACTAGACAAATAAAGATCTACAACACCATGAAAACCAAGCAACAACAAAAAATAATTTAAATAAGCATGAGATGTAGCGTTACATGGACATTGGAAAAAGACCTGTGCAAAAATATTTAAATTTAAGACTTAAAGACCCCGCAGAAACCCTGTAAATAAAACTGTATAGTCAGTTTGCTGAAGTCATAAGCTTTAAACAGCTGTATTATATACAATAGTCAACACACGCTTTAATTTAGCATCAACCATGCCGTTTGCTTGGCTATAATAAAGCAGGTGTTGAGTACTGCAGATTATACAACTGTTGTATTAAGATTATGACTTAAGCAAACTACCTATAAAATTATCCAAACATCGAACATGGAGATTTTATTGTCATTGTGTACATCCATCCTTCATTATATCAACGCTAACTCATTGGCGAAATCAAAATTAAGGTGTTTGACTACTGCAGATAATATAAACCTTACCCATGATCCACTGGCCAGTGTGTGGTTGGCCAAGATGAAAGCAGCAGCAGCCATTTGAGACGGGAGATACTTGAGGAAGGGATCGCAATCTATCAAGCTGAGCTCTCCAAGAAACTGCAAGAGAGCCAAAGGTGTTAAAATCATCATCTCGGGTGATAACAGGCAAACAACAGCTTCAGGAAACAGTCGCACCATTGATAAGCTCTCGACTTTGCTGCTCACAGGCTGGTGTAAGAAATACTGGGTGAGGAACTGATTGATGGTGGGAGCGGCCAGATCAAACGAGAGAACTGTCAGCACCAGATGCTCCATCCGCAACACTTGTTTCTTTGTGTACGTGTCGTCAGTGATGTACACAAACTCCGCCACCTCCGGAGGGTAAATCTCCTCAAACTTCCTACAGGCAAACAGATAGTCAAAATTAAGACCATTATGAATAACTGACGGGATTGTTAACACCAATTAAAAACAGCTCATTTTCATTCCTAAATGTGGTTTTAAAACCAGAGTTAAGATGAGGAAAGAAACTTGATATTTTGAAAAACGCAAGTTACTGGCAGCTATTAGCCCCGTCCACACATACAGACCTTTTTGTACGTCTCTGTATGTGTGAACGGGCCCTTTTTGAAAATACCGGTAAATTCGTTCCGGGTATTTTCCAGAAAGAGAAGTTGCAACATTACCGGTAATTTGCTGGAATGCTGCGCTGTGTGAACGCAGAAGGAAGATTGCCGGAAAGAGCGCGTGAACGTCTAGAACGCACTGACGTGAGACGTCTATTTTAGCCAACCAGAACAGTCAGACGCATTTACGTCCGCGCGGTTTGTGAGAATAAAAGCCTGTGAATGTTTTCCCAGACACATTTAGCTGCTAGATGTTAGTCAGACAACATGTTACGAAACGTTGGCGGACTTGGTAAGGACTAGAACCAGTGGCATTCTTTCTGTGAGGCAACAGTGCTAACTAATGAGCCACCATGACACCCATCTAGGAAAGGAGGAGGAGTAGGGGTGGAAGGGAAGACTCCAACTGAAGATGGCTATTATATGGAACTGGTCTATGGTGACTTCGGAATCATCTGATTGGTGAATAATAAATTGGATAACGCTGGACCCGCCACAAACAATCAGGGTTCTTACACCTTTATCAACTCCAAATTGCAGCACTTTTCAAGCACTTTTAAGGTGCATTTGTATGTTTTTCCAACACGTAATAACCACGGTTAACTATGTTTATATATGTTGTATATACTTTCTCATATTTAAATTCATTGTGCTATTTAAAAAAAAAAACGCAATATGACATTAACTTAAATTGTTGAGTACTTTATTTGGATATTCATTCAAAAGTGATTAAAAAATATATTTTTTTAAGTTCAGTTGCATGAAGTATGTTTTTAAGCTTGGTCTCTTTCTACCTAAAGTTGATATCTCAAGAAATGAGCTTACAGTCAGATTTTGTTTGGGCGTAGTACCAAACTTTCATGACCAGTTGTTCATGAAATTTCATGTGCATTGCTATTTATTTGTTTGTTTTTTTACAGTCATTGGATTGGCGTTTCAGGTGCAAAGATGCATTCTGGGTGAATGTCTCAAATACGTATATAGCTACGTATTCAGATTGTTTTGGCTTATTATTAGCTCCATAAATACACGCATGCAGTGAACATTTCGCAATGAAAACTGGTCGCACGACAACAATTTATACACATATGCTCCTGAATATATTTTGAGGTCACATGGACAAAATCGTGCGCATATGCAACCAAAACAGTCACAATTTCGAGCCCTGCAAATTCAAGCAGGTTCAAGCACTTTGTCCAAAATCCAAGCACTTTTCTAACCTTGAAAACACTATATTAAAGAGCCCATATTATGGGTTTTTGAAAATTCCCCTCTATGTAGTGTGTAACACAGCTCTAAGTGAAGTGAAGTATCCAGCTAAGGCTTAAATCTGTAAGAATACAGTGTTTAAAACGGTTGATTCATCTATAAAAGAGTCGACTCATAGTGCTTCAAACGAGTCGCCTTGATACCGATTCATTAGGCGTTTCGCCATGACGTACGAACGAAACCAAGTTATTCACGTGCACGCGCAAACCCGGGAGATTTCAAACCTGAGGCCCCGCTCTCTGACGCAGAAACCCAGACACACACACACACACCCACGAACACACACACACAAACATGCCGGTCGATTGAAGTCACACTGCAGATGGACATTATCGATTCTCTACCCAGAGATGAAACCTCAGCATTATAATCAAGCAGTTGGACACTTCTGGAAACTACAGGCTACAAAGAATACTTCATCAGCGTTTGTTAAAAGAAGGATCAGTAAAGAGTAACTTACTAATGGACGTCAGGATGGATTTTTCTTCCTCCATTTCTCAAGTGTAAGTACGTGCGATTAAAGTTGCCTCGTTGACTCTAGCTTGCAAATGTATTTAGTTGTGATTTTTTACTTGTAACCGCGTGTACTGTATCAGGTTAACTGGCTATATTCTCTTATCGCGTGCTGCTTTATGGAGCTCCATGCTAGAGTTCTGCTCCCGCGATTTATTCGGAAATTTATTCTCGCGCCGCAGAAATCTGGCGCGGGGTCAGCCGCGGGAATAAATTTCCGAATAAATGGCGGGAGAGGTCGGTAACGGGTTTAATTTGGGACGGGAGCGGACTGTCTAGCAATATCACGGATATTGCTATGCAAATTAGGAAGAGAGTCTGCTTGGTGCTTGTGTGTGTGTGTGTTAGTGCGCACGCGCGCGTATAAGAGAGAGAGAGAGAGAGAGAGAGAGAGAGAGAGAGAGAGAGAGAGTTGACTCTGTTGGAGCAGTACTGTGAGGAATGGGCACTGACGGTCAACCTGGACAAAACCAAAGTCAAGGTGTTCCAGAAGAAGGCCAGATCTCAGGGACACAAATATCAATTCACATACAGAGGAGAAACTCTAGAGCATTGTAGCAGTTACTCATACCTGGGCATCCAGATCTCTGCCTCTGGGGGCTTCAATCTCGCTGTCAAGACCCTGAGCGAGAGGGCTCGCAGAGCATTCTATGCCATAAAATCACGCTTTGGCCAATTACAGTTACCAACTAAAACATGGATTAAATTATATCACGCTATTATCAAACCTATATTACTATATGGGAGTGAAATTTGGGCACCAGTATTAAAATTAGAAAATTGGAATAAAAGTTTAATTGAACGAACACAATTAGAATTTGCTAAAAGCATATTACATATTCACAGAAACACGTCTAACATTGCCTGCAGGGCTGAACTGGGTTTATACCCGCTAAATTTGGAGATTCAGAAACGAGCTGTTCGGTTCTGGCTGCACCTGCATCAGTCGGACCCCCAGTCTGTACAATATAAAGCCCTTCTGGCTAATGAAAAACCTACAGTGTCTCATCCTCTAAACACACTGGTATCTGAGCTACTGGAAAAAACACAAACCGAACCCGTCCCCAAACAAAACCTTCACAAACAAATTGACAAAACATTAAAATATAACTATGATGAAAAACTGAAAACTGAATTCAACCTCCAGACTAAACTTAAATGTTATTCGGCCCTAAATAGAACCACACAGTTGGCAAATTATTTATCATTAAAACAATTAAAAGAAAAGCACATTCTTTCCAAATATCGCCTCTGTGATCATGACCTAGAAATAGAAAAAGGCAGACATAAAAAATCCTGGACTCCTAAGGAAAAGAGAACATGTCAACAGTGTGACACAAACCAAATAGAGGATGAGACACACTTCCTTCTGTTCTGCCCCAAATACAGCACGAGTAGAGAAATATTTTTCCCCCAATTTGAAACATTGATCAATTCATTTTTTAATTTAAATGACTCAGAAAAACTTTACCATATACTCGGAGAGGACGAATTGACATTTGAACTGGCTGCAAAATATGTATATACCCTACACACCATAAGAAATGGTTAATGTAAATTTGTGTCTTATTTAAATAATTTAAACTTTTTACTATTATTATTATTTTATTTATCAAATGTATTTTTTTTTTCTTTTTTGTGTGTCATATCTTATCTGTATTACTATTAATTATTATTTTCAATGGTTTTAATATGTTTCATATTTGAAATGCTTTGGCAATACTGTATTTAATGTCATGCCAATAA